GAAAGTCGGAGAGAGAACACATACGTAGTACATAGCCTTTGGATGCATCTCACCTTCTGTGCCCAGTAGAGATAGGAATCGGGGTGGTTAATTTCCTTGCCTAGCCTTGCAATCACTTTGGAGGGTGTCCAGTTGATCTTCTGCTTTTCTCTCAAGGACCACACATGCACATGGGGGAGAAACCAACCAGGCACAAAAAGACAAAACCAGCTAGCATATAAGACAAAATCATCTAGCATATAAGACAAAACCAGCAAGGATTATGACAAATCCAGCAAGAGAACAGCTGGAGGATAAAACATGCAAAGTGGGGGAAAAAAAAAAAAAAAGAACCCAGCAAAACTGCTGCAAAAGACAAAATTTGCAGGAATAATAGAAAGGATGAGGGCCTACTCACACTACCAGTAGGGCATTTTATGGCAAAAAACAATAAGAAATAGCTGAAATTCGATGGTTGGGCCAGTTGCACGGGGCAGGGAAAATGGCAAAAGCAGCAAACTGGGTGTATCAAACGTCAACGGCCTGGTGGGCCGCGGGGAAAGGGCATTTTTTGCTCCCACCTCTGGAGGTGGCAGCAATTTTTTTTATTTTTTTTTTTTCAGTTCGAGAGCTCATGAAATGAAGTTCGAAATGAACTTTGGTGGGGAAAAAAAAAAAAACAGCTGTTGGGCCTCGCGCTTTTGGACCACGCGAGGCACCATTTTGTTGGCAATTGCCAGAGAGTCCGGCTCGTGTCTTTTGTGATTTGCTGCCGCTATGTGACCGCGCAGGGTGGCATTTCAGCGAAATTGGGATCCTATCATCCTAGCAAAGTTCGCAGATTTTGCTGCTACGCCACCGCTGTTGTGTGAGTACGCCCTCAGAAAACCAAAACAAACTGGATTCGAACCTTTGCATGTCGGTATCAAAAACCGATGCCTTTCCACTTGGCTATACTCCAATGAGATAACGTGACCGACCAACGGCCTCAATGTCTTAGCTTAGAATTGTGTTTTTGTTTTTCAACTATTTGACTACACCATACAAACAACAATTGAATATTTATGGGCCCATTAGTCCAATAAATGATACGCAACAGTCCCAACGGGCCTACCGTCTTCCCCCCACACAACGCACCCTCATTTTTGGCTGCACCAAACCGGGAAGATAGCTTGTATACATTCGGTATCAGGGTGCACGTTGTATTCGGGGGAAGAAGGTAGTAGCTCAGTTGGTACACCCATGAGCTGTGGAAATAGCACTGAAATACAGACCTGAGTTTGAATCCAGATCAACAAGATGAATGATACACAAACTGTTGTCGTTCGGTACTTAGAAAATCATTGAGGAATGAAGGGAAGGTGGAAAAGAAAAGAGTAAGGGGGAAAAAAAGGAAAAAAAAAACGAAATATAATAGTATTTACTATTTAGTATTTAGTATTCACATAAAATCATTTCCGGGCGGGGGGGGAAGAAAAAAGCAATATTGTCAACAGCCAGACAGTGGGCAAAAAAAAAAAAAAAAAAAAAAAAAACAATAAAATTTTAAAATAAAAATAAAATAAACGAATAAGTAGAAATAAATAAATAAAAAAAAAAAAAACCATCCACCATTGACCCCTCCCCGCCCACCACCTCTCCTACCCCTTACAGCCCCTCCTCACCTGTTCTCTCTGCTCGGCGACGAGCTTGTCCAGAATTGGGTGCACCCAATCTTCAAACAAACAGTAGTTGTCATTGGGCACAAGCAAGTTGCCTATCCGGTTGAGTCCCTTGGCCCGTAAAGACTTTCCTGAAAGGGAAAAATCCCCGACATAGGTTGGCGCTATGCACTTAATTAGGTCTTCCTCTATTCCCCCTGCAGTAGTCACAAGGACATCCACCTGCAATGAAAGTTCCCATGCATGCAGGCACAATAACCAATTAGGAAAGGTCCGTGTCCTTACAAGGACATCCAGCTGCAGTGGCCACAAGTCCAGCTACCAATTACGAAAGTCACACCCACCATGTGTCTGCATTAAACTTATTGATTGATGATACCTTCCCATTCAGACACAATTGGGAAAAAAAAAAAAAAATGGTCACAAGCACATCCACGTGCAGAGCATATGGAATATACGACCAATCAGTCGATTGCAGACATACAGGTACATACAGACACACCTATGTATGTTTTTACGCACGTATGTATATATGTCTGTCTGCATGCATGTATGTATGTATGTCTGCGTCTGCATGCATGGATGTATGTCTGTGTGCATGCATGTATGACATTGTATGTACTATGCATGTCTGCATGCATGCATGCATGTATGTATGTACTATGCATGTCTGCATGCATGCATGTATGTATGTACGTACGTACGTCTGCATGTCTGCATGCATATACGTATGTAGTATGTACGTATTTATGTCTGCATGCATGCATTTACGTCTGTCTACATGCATGATTGTATGTATGCAATGTGTATGCACGATTGTGTGTATGTATGTATATGGACATACATATATGTATATAAAGGGGAAACGGATCATCAGACAAACTATAGCCTCAAAGTGAGAAAAGGACAAAACGCCTACTGGTGATTTATAAAAGACTGTTTCATAGGAGATTACTCGATGGAGAGTACTGCTCTTGCCGGTTTACGTGATAAGAGGACTTGGCTTCGGGCCTGGGCCCGTGGCAAAACCGGCACGCTTTGTCCTCCGGGACATCCGTTAAAATTGGAACGATACAGGGAAAGAAGATTACCATGGGAAAAAAAAAAAAGAAGAAGAAGATTAGGATGCCCCCTGCGCCAGGATTACATGCATAAACCGAGAAATGGTCCAAACTCACCAAAAAAAAAAAAAAAAAAAAAAAAAAACTCTTTTTACAATTCGAAATTTGAAATTTGAAACTCTTTTCCCCACGAATAGACTGGAGCATCTGCCCCCAAAAAAAAAAAAAAAAAAAAAAAAAAAAAAACAGGCACAGCTCCAGACTCCCGAAACCTCTCAAGGTATAGTTCCCTGTGGATAAAAATCAGAAAGGCCAACTACTACGGGAGGGACTGCCATGTGTGTTTCCACTTTCAAGTATCCATTCTATCCAACCTCTAGCAATGAGTGTCGGATTGAATTCCTGAATCTGGACGCGTTTGACGACAGGCGCAGGAAATCGAGATCGAACTGCTTTTCTGTATCTCTGCATTAAACATGGCCAGATTCAGGATTTCTATCCTATCCCCTTTGCTCGTGGGACCACGGCCCTGGACATGTTGTCAAACCATCCCACCCCTACATCTGGAGAAGTGGGATTGGAATTGGAACGAGTGTCTCCAAAAAGTTAGGGGACTCGGAACAGGGTCCGCATGGAGGTGGATGGATTCTTTTTTTTTTTTTTTTTTTTTTTGGTTCAGGGCTGGGCATAGTGGTGCCAACCCACGGCATGGGACAATTTTATTTATTTTTTCTACTGGCCCTTGGGACGTCGAGCCTCCAAAACTTCCGAGAGGCTCAATGAGACTCTCGACTTGGCTGGGCCCATGTACTGGTGGTTTAAAGTTTAAAGTTTAAATACACCACCCGTTCACCCAGGCCTATTTTGACAAACCAAAGAATGCATTTTGCCAAGCCTGAAAGTGACCGGTATAATACCTTTCTCGGCCTTTCGGCTAAGATCAAGTGTAGTATCTGTTCTGATCAGTTTAATATCTGATCCGTGGTCCATCGGTCACATTAAAAAAAAAAAAAAAAAAAAGACCGGTACCATCACTTGCCAAATTGTGGCAGGTACTGGCACCGCGCCCGGCCTCTCGGACCTGCCACCAGGGGCGTGGTCCCACTAGCAAAGAGGATTCGATCGAATGCCTGAATCTGGACGTGTTTGTGGAAAGGTGCAGTAAATTGAGATTGAACTGCTTTTCTGCATCTTTGCATAAATCACATCCAGATTTAGGAGCTTGATTCTATCCCCGTTGCTAGTGGGACCTCGGCCCAGCAGATGGAACAAAAAGAGGGCTGTATATCATTCTCGGACATTGTTTTCACTCGTGTGTTTTCACTCGTGTACTGCCCCAGCCAGAGCTCGGATCCATGAAACCACATGAACAATTAAAAATTAAAAAAAAAAAAAAAAAAAGAGGGACCCGTCAGTGAAAGGCAAAACGAAGTTGAGAGAAGAACATAGTGTAGTGTAGTTAAAAGAAGTAAAAAAAAATGATGATATCTCACGGCCATTGCCTTTTCCATAAACCACGAGTACCTCCGAGACCGTTTTTGCCGACCCTGGATTTCACTGCGCACCGAAATTCGCCGAGCCTGGGTGCCACTGTGTTTTCTTTTCTGGTACTCTTCCCAAAAGAAAAGAAAAGAAAAGAAAAAAGAAAAAACGAAAAGAAAAGAAAAGAAAAGAAAAGAAAAAAAGAACAACGAAAAAAAAAAAAAAGGAACAACCGTAGGGATGTGAAAGCAGCAGCATGCAGAATCTGGGGCACATGTGAGACTATATTATGCCCTCCCAACGGGCAGTTACACCCCAGGGCCGAGGTCCCACTAGCAAAGAGGATTGGATAAATATCCTGAATCTGGACGTGTTTTAAGCAGAGATGCAGAAAAGCAGTTCAATCTCGACTTTCTGCACCTTTCGACAAACAAGTCCAGATTCAGGTGTTCAATCCAATCCTCTTTGCTAGTTGGACCTCGCCCCAGCTGTATTCACGGGATGAGCCACAGAGAAAAGAAGTACGGAATCAAAAAAGAAAAAAAAAGGAAAAGAAGTACGGAAAATAAAAATAAAAATCATATACTCTTTGGTTATGACTGAACTGGTGTGAGACTAAGCATACAGACAAAGTCCAGGACAAAGTCAGAGCTGAGACATCACAAGTACAGCAAGGTACAGAGTAAAATTTGATTGCAAATGCCGGTGGGTAGGCACCCTGACCGGTTTCGGGCGTCGCCACACGCCCTCATCAGGGGGAATCCACCAACTGCGTCCTGTCACAAACCAACACTCCAACTCTCCCACCTCCGTCGTCAGATCCACCACCATCTCCGGAGTGATAGCGCGTCCAATCGGCGTGGGACCCAAAAAGAACAACGGCGCAATCATTACTCTTATAGAGCTATCCTAATAGTAGCACACCACACAAAGGGCCTCGCCGCACCACTGTCGAAAATGCAATTTTCGACAGTTTCTCTTCGCCACACAGGCTGTCGAAGTCGGAGACGGGAAAAAAATTCTCCAGTTGTCAGAGCATGCTTCTCGACAGCTCCTGTCGAAAGTTGTCGAATGCCCAGCCTGCTACTCCCATGCTTTCGACACTCCTCGGCTGCGCCGTCGACTTCTCTTCGAAATTCGGTGAGGGGGGGTAAGGTCGGGATGGACTAATGCTTGTCGTACCCTCTGGTGCATTCGTCTTTTTCCATCTTGCATTCACAATTGCGTGCACTCTACAGTGCTGTGTGGCTAAAGGGGGGCAAACTGTCGAATGGAGGCTGTCGAATTTGTTCTGACAGCCGTCAATTTTTTCGCCTTTCGACTGTGATGCGGCGAGGCCCAAAGTGTCAACGCAAAATCCTATAACCTTCGAAGGTCCCTGGGGGCTACCAGGGCGTTCGGGTACCTGCATTCGGCCAGTCCCTACAATCGCCGAGCCACCAGGGCGTTCGGGTACCTGCATTCGGCCAGTCCCTACAATCGCCGAACGTTACGTACTCGTCCAAAAAAGATCAGCAAGCCCAATACCTCGAGGCTCGAGGTCAGGGTTCAAGGCCCGTAGGCCGTGAATGAAACCAGGTGCCCGGCGAAATTGGGGGTGATGACAAGTTCGAATCTCAGAGGCCGCAACCATACGCAAAGAAACCAGACAAAACAAACAAACAAACAAAGAAACAAGAAACAAAAATCAAAGGAGAAAAGTCACCAAAGCTGTGTCCTAGAACAGTGAGGCCCGGTCCCTAGCTCGGTGGAACCCTGTCCCACTATACTATCCTAATAACGATGAAAGCAGCTGGATACAGAATCTGGGGCACATATGACAGTATGCCCTCCCACGGCCCATACTTCACGAGCAGCTGTATTCTTCACGGCAGCAGCAAAAAAAAAGAATATACTCTTTGGACGTGAAAGCAGCTGGATACAGACTATAGAGTACCAAGTGAGATTGTGCCCTGAGGGCCTCGCTCCACTACTCTCGACACGCACATAATACAAAAATGATGGCTCTGTATCTTTCCATCTTCTAGCACAAGATTCACTCTCGTTTTGCACAGCGAGGCCCTAAGTTGCAGAGTTGAGTTGTCAGCTATCCTCCGTGTAATGCCCCCTGCCTCGTTGGCAGGGCACGAACAGAGGGGGGATGAAACAAAGACAACCAATCATGAAAGTACCTCAGTTTCTGGGTAGATGCTTTCCTTGGAGTACCAGTGTGTGTGAGCAGAGACTTCCTCCACGGCCTTCCCCGACTTCCTCCCTTTCGACTTTGCCTTTTTCTTTTTTCTTTTTTTTGCAATGGGACCCACAAGTCCCCCCCCCCCCCCAAAAAAAAAACCCTCAAGGCTTGCGGAGCCTCCGCGGGGCTCCAAAAACATCGGAATTTTGGGAAAGCCGTCACTTTTCCCGAATTTCTTTTGCCTGGCCGAGGTACTACCGGGACCTTGTCCCACTAGGTCCGTTGAGCTAGCTAGGTCAACGTTTTCGACGCTGTGTGACTGTACGCGACAACAGAGATGCACGTCGTCCAAGTCAAGTCATCTAGCGGTCCGTTTTTAATAAAAAAAGGCAATAGATAGACTACTATCTTTGCTTTTTCTTACAACAAAAAGCAGAAGTAAATCCCTTCTCTCGAATACTACTCCCCCTTTTTTCGAGACAGCTATGTAGCTCAACGACCCTCTTGTTCCTTTTGCCAAAGGGCGTTTTTCTAGAGAAACTGTACGAGCCTCCTTCCGTTTGCCATTTTGTACAAAAGGGATTCTGGCAACTCACTCTTCATTTTCTGCTGTGTGGATGAAGTGCCCGTCCGGCGTATGCCACTCCAATTGTGAAAAAAGAAAAACCAGAACAATTGTATTGGTGCCATTTATAAATGCATTTCTCATTTGAAACTGAATTAGAATGAATTTTTTTAGCTGTCGCACCGTTGAGCTGCCTCAACTAAACGGTGCAAGTGGGACAAGGTCCCGGGTAGTGGTATAAGAGAAAAAAAGGAAAAATAAAAGAGAAAAAAAAGGGGTCGTGAGTGAGCCGGCGGTTTAAAATATAGTATATGTCAGTCAAAAAAAAAAAAAAAAAAAAAAAGAAGAAGAAGAAGAAGAATATGTCAGCAATCCGATCCTGTGCAAGTGCAGTGTGATGATCAGCAAAAGCTTATCCTATTTGTGTGATGATCAGCAAAGCTTATCCTATTTGTACTGTGTACAGGTAACCCATGTGATTCTGCCACGTGTGCATCCACCAACACAGTGCTAACAAAACAAGTCTGCTTAAAAAAAGAAAAAAAATGGGAAAAAATAAATAAAAATAATTAAAAAATAAAAAAAATCCGATCGCCTAATTTTTTCTGCTCGTGCGCTGACAGCTCGCTCGCCTGCAGGTTAAATAATTAAAAAAAAATAAAAAAATCCGATCTAGGGTCGTCGCCACCAGTTTCGATCTGATGACCGAGGTTCGATTGCCAGCACCTCAAGAACTCAAAAATCGTCCTCGGCTCGTTTTTGAGAAAAAAAAAAAATTACTTTCCCCTAGCCTATGAACGCAACAACAGGAGCAAGGTCCCACTAGCAACGGGATAGGATAGAAACGGGTTTGTGTGGCAGTTGTGTGACCCAAATCCTGCCGTGCAGTACTCGTGAGTGATCCCACGGTCAGTATTTTACATGTATTACCCGAAAAAGTAAGGAGATCTTGGTTCCCCTCCTCCTCTCCTTAACACTGGGCATGCCCGTGCAA